ATGTCAACACATATTTAGGAAGGACCAAGGCCTTCAATGAACTATTAAAAAAAAAAAAAAAAAAACTCACCAAACTCACTGCCATTGAGCCGATTCTGGCTCATAACAATCCCCACTAGGTTTCCAAGGCTATAAATATTTATGGAAGCAGACTATCCCATCTTTCTTCCATGGAGCTGCTGGTGTGTTTGAACCACCAACATTTTGGTCAGCAGCCAAATGCCTTAACCATTATGCCACCAGAGCACCTTCAATGAACAACAGTACTAATTCCAGAACTGAAGCAGCTCTAACCTCTCCCTTTAAATCAATTCTGCAAATAAGACCCCATAATGAACCATTCTATGATTTTCTTCTCAGGAAATGCTGTTGTTAGTTGCCATCAAGTTGATTCAGACTCACAGTGCCCCTCTGTGAGAAGAGCAGAACTAATAGTCTAGCACTTAACCATTTGTGCCACCCAGGGATTCTTCTCAGGAACTACTGATGATGAAACAATTTCATCTTCTTTTCTATACTTGACATATAATCTGTACTTCATCATTTGTAGGAGGCTAATTTCAAGAATTAGTAATAATAATCATAACTAGCCAGGGAGATGATCCACAAAGACCTAATCTGGAAGGCCTACTGTTAGTCTTAATACTTGTTCACCTTCGAAAGTCTAGAAGAGGCCATGGAGCTAATATTAGTACCTGGTTCTTAGGAAATGGCCAGACTCTAGATTTTCTGGAGAAAGAAGGGAAAAGGGTAATACAGGGAAATGAAGAGACAATTAACTCCCCATAACCTTCATAAATTTTATTAATCTACAAAAAACAAAGTAAAGAGATGAGCAGCGATAGTGGTTAAGCCTTCTTTGGTTGATGTGTTGGATCTGCCAATCTCTAGCCTGGGCATGAATCTAGGAAAATTAGAAGTTGTCAAAAATGAAATGGAATGGAACACATAATGATTGACCTCGATAAATCTTTTTAATCTAGGAAAAACAAAGTAGAGAGATTAGCTGGGATAGTGGTTACGCCTTCTTGGGTTCAGGTGTTGGATTTGCCAATCTCTAGCCTGGGCATGAATGTAGGAAAATTGGAAGTTTTCAAAAATGAAATGAAATGGAACTCATAAAGATTGATATCCAAGGCATTAGTGAGCTGAAATGGATTGGTTTTGGCCACTCTGAATTAGACAACCATATGATCTACCATGCTGGGAATGGCAAGTTGAAGAGGAATGGTGTGGCATTCATCGTCACAAAGAATGTTTCAAGTCTATCCTGAAGTACAGTGCTGTCAGTGACAGGATAGTAGCCATACACCTATAAGGAAGGGCAGTTAATACTATTATTCAAATTTGTGCACCAACCACCAAAGCCAAAGACAAGGAAATTGAAGATTTTCACCAACTTCTGCAGTCTAAAATTAACTGAACATGTAATCAAGATGTGCTGATTATCACTGGTGATTGGAATGCAAAAGTTGGAAACAAGAATCACTGGTAGTTGGAAAATTTGGCCTGGGTAATAGAAATAATGCTGGACATTGCATGATAGAATTTTGCAAGACCAACGACTTATTCATTGCAAATACCTTTTTTCAACAACACAAATGACAACTATATACATGGACATCACTGGATGGAGTACACAGGAATCAGATTGACTACATCTGTGATAAGAGGTGATGGAGAAGCTCAATATCATCAGCCAAAACAAGGCCAGGAACTGATTGGGGAAAAGACCATCAACTGCTCATATGCAAGTTCAACCCGAAGTTGAAAACAATTAAAACAAGTGCATGAGAGCCAAAATATGACCTTGAATATATCCCTCCTGAATTTATAAATCATCTAAAGAATAGATTTGATGCACTGAACACCAATGACTGAAAACCAGAGGAATTGTGGGATGACATCAAGAACATCATCCATGAAGAAAGCAAAACGTCATTAAAAAGAAAAGAAAGGAAGAAAAGACCAAAATGGAGGTCAGAAGAGACTCTGAAACTTGCCCTTCAGTGGAGAGTAGCTAAAGCAAATGGAAGAAATACAAGATAAAAGAGCTGAACAGAAGATTTCAAAGAGCAGCTTGAGCAGACAAAGCCAATTACTATAATGAAATGTGCAAAGTTAGAAAATCTGGAGTTAGAAAACCAAAAGACAAGCTTGGCATTTCTCAAGCTGAAAGAACTGAATAAAAAATTTAAGCCACTAGTTGCAATATTGAAAGATTCTATGACTCAATGGCACATAACAACAAGGGGCAAAATTCTGAATGATGCAGGAAACATCAAAAGAAGGTGGAAGGAATACACAGAGTCACTGTACCAAAAAGAATTTGTTGATGTTCGTCCATTTCAGGAAGTGGTATATTATCAAGAACCAATGATACCGAAGGAAGAAGTTGAAACTGCACTGAAGGAAGTGGTGAAAAACAAGGCTTCAGGAATTTATGGAACACCCACTGAGATGTTTCAACAAATGGATGCCCCACTGGAGGCACTCACTTGGTTATGCCAAGAGATTTGGAAGACAGCTACCTGGCCAACTGACTGGAAGAGATCCATATTTGTACCCATTCCAAAGAAAGGTTATCCCACAGAATATGGAAATTATCAAACAATATCATTAATATTGCATGCAAGTAAAATCTTACTGAAGATAATTAAAAAAACAGTTGCAGCAGTATACTGACAGAGAACTTCCAGAAATGCAAGCTGGATTCAGAAGAGGACATGGAATGAGGGCTATCATTGCTGATGTCAGATGGATCTTAGCTAAAAGCAAAGAATACCAGAAAGATGTTTACTTGTGTTTTATTTTATTGACTATGCAAAAGCTTTCGATTGTGTGGATCATGACAAATTATGGATAACATTGAGAAGAATGGGAAATTCAGAACACTTAATTGTATTTATGAGGAACCTGTACATAGACAAGGAGGCTGTTGTTCGAACAGAACAAGGGGACACTGCATGGTTTAAAATCAAGAAAGGAATGCATCAGGGTTGTATCCTTTCACCATACTTATTTAATCTGTACACTGAGCAAATAATCCAAGAAGCTGGACTATATGAAGAAGAACATGGCATCAGGATTGGAGGGAGACTCATTAACAACCTGTGATATGCTGACAACACAATTTTGCTTGCTGAAAGTGAGGATGACTTGAAGCACTTACTGATGAAGACTGAAGACTACCATCTGCAGTATGGATTACAACTCAATATAAAGAAAACAAAAATCATCATAACTGGACCAATAAGCAGCATCATTATAAACAGAGAAAAGATTGAAGTTGTCAAGTCTTTCATTTTATTTGGATCCACTGTTAACACCCATGGAAACAGCAGTGAAGAAATCAAACAATGTATTTCCTTGGGCAAATCTGCTGCAAAGAACTTCTTTAAAGTGTTAAGAAGCAAAGATGTCACTTTGAGGGGTAAGGTACACCTGATCCAAGCCATAATATTTTCATTTGCTTATATGCATGGGGAAGGTGAACAAATGAATAAAGAAAACCGAAGAAGAATCAATGCCTTTGAATTGTGGTATTGGTGAAGAATATTGAATATACCGTGGATTGCCAGAAGAATAAACAAAAATCTGTCTTGCAAGAAGTACAGCCAGAATGCTCCTTAGAAGTGAGGATGGTAAGACTTCGTACCACACACTTTGGACATGTTATCAGGAGGCACCAGTCTCTACAGGGTAAAGTAGAGAGGGTCAGTTAAAAAGAGGAGGACTCTCAATGAGATGTATTGACACAGTGGCTGTAAAAATGTGATCAAACATAGCAATGATTGGGAAGATGGTACAAGATCAGGCTGTATTTTGCTCTATGTTGTTCTCGTAGGTCACTAAGAGTTGAAACAAACTTGATGGCACCTAACAACAAAAACAAATTGTGAGAGAATAAATTTCTGTTTATTAAAGCCATCCACTTGTGGTATTTCTGTTATAGCAGCACTAGAGAACTAAGACAATGTCATAGGGTTATAGGGAGAATTGAAAGAGATCGGTCATGTTGAAATCCTTACTAGCACAGGCCCTCGTACACAGGATGGGCTAATAAATGTTGGCTATTATTATTGTTGTTGTTGTTGTATTGTTATCTGAAATTCCCAACCTGTAATGCATGCTCTAATGGCCATTACAACAGGAATAAGAGGGCTCAAATACCAGACATCTCTCCTTGCCAACTATATAAACTCCCTGAAATCGAATTGTTTACATCACCAGTTTTCTGCACAATTTGTCCTCAGCTGGCTTACCTTATTTCTTGCTTTAGGCAGATATTCGAAATGAGCTAATCAAAATGGATGCCCCTCCTGCATTGGTGCCATGCACAATGGCACTTCCAGAGTCAGAGCAGAGCAATTTAAAGGCATTGTAAGAGCAGGAGGTACAAAGTCACTCACATTCTAGAACCCACTTCAAACATGTTTGGGAGCAACTACAAGTCAGTCTCACATGGCTACACTCTCCCCACAAGTCATAACTTCAGTAAGTTCACAGTGGAGCAGCCCAGACACCTGCTTCATAATGTTTCTCCTGTTTGATGGGCTGTGTCTCTAATTTGACTCCAATTCAACTTCTTGGGAAATGCCATGGGAATTACTAAAAAAGTGTATTGTTGTTATTAGCTGTTGAACAGTCAGCCCCTCATGCACAATGGAAAAAACTGCTGCCCCATTCCGTGCCATCCCCATGGTCGTGAACTGGAATGTTGTGATCCATAGGGTTTTCACGGGCTGATTTTTGGAAGTAGACTACTAGGCCTTTCTTTCTTGTATTTAGTCTGAAAGCTTTACTGAAACATATTCAGCATCATAGCAACATGCAGACCTCCAATGAGAGAATGGTGATGGCTATGCATGAGGTTCACTGGCCGAGAATCAACCCCAGGTCTCCCACCTTAGAAGTCTACCAATGAACCTCTGATTCCTCACGAAAAACAGTTAGTCTCCCTTTAAGTGGGTCAAAAGTCCTAGCACGGTCATACTTACTTCCCAAGAGTGCCTCTTCAGGCCCTTCCAACGAGTCACCATCCCGTCCATCCAGTGTCTTACTCATCCGCTGTGATAACAACTCTCCACCATCGCCCTCTGAGTGTAGGCCGGGCTTCTCAGCCATGAGCACCTGTTCTCTTGGACCAGTGCCAGGCTCTTGGCTTCTGTCTGTCCCTGCCTGTGTGCTGCACACATCCACAGCCCTGGGGTTCTCATTATCCAGCGAGGTGTGATCCCCACACTGGCCTGGCACATTTCTCGAATCTCTTGGATCCTCAGCACTATTGGCAGAAGGCTGGATCAAAGGGCTGCTGCCTGCTGAGTTTGCAGGGGAATGGTACTGGGGTATAACACCAACGAATTTCAGGCCCTGGCTTGCGGCCTCCTGGATCTGTGAGGCAAACAGAATGAAGGCAACAAGTCAATTGGTGTTCTACGATGGGGAAAATGTAAAATGACAAGGTATCTCACTGGAGGCCTTTGGGGGTATATCAGCTTGAACATGAAAAACATTGGGCTGGAGGAGGTACCCTGTCATCAAAGGCAGTGCCTGCACCCCAACCCTGGTTAAGATAGCATGGGGTTTGTCTTTCTTAAACTATGCTGTCTGATGGAAAATAAAGCATTTGTTCATGAGGGGTTGGGATTATTTACTTCTTTTTGAAACACTGCAATAGTCCCTACCAGTTTGTGTGTGTGTGTGTGTGTGTGTGTGTGAGGCTAGAAAAAGGTTCTAAAAGGATGAGGTGGAACTAACAAGAGTTTAAAAGAGGAAGTTCATTTTGGTAGAAGTTCGTTTTTTTTTTTTTCCTTTCTCATGAATCACCTACTTCCTGCCCATCAGGCTACTGTATAAATACAGTTTTCTATATAACCATATACTAACGACCAGATGGCATTGTATGAGCCAGAGAACTTCCTCTTTTAAACAACTGTTTTGGCAAAGAATGGCAGAAGTGAGGAAAAGAACCCGTACAGAAGCAGATGAGCACATTCCCTATAAGAGGGGAAATCTGATCGACTTCTGCTTTCATGGTGCTCGCAGGCCGCAGTTACACCACAGGGACCAAGGACCATGCCCATCCCGCAGGTACTACTCTGGCAAACACTTCACCATCCAAACTGTGGCACATAGCATCTGGTCTAGGTGACTATTCTCAATTCCCTGTTCCTGTAAGAAGGTGGACTTATGCCCTATATGGAGGATGATGGCACTTAAACTCTTCCTCTTTCTAAAAAACACCCCCAGGCAATTAATTTTTATTTTCTTCTTTTTATTTTCAAAATTGTGATTTGGGTGAAATTCATTTTCCATACAGCAGTTCATACACAATATGTTTCATGACACTGACTGCAAACCCCATAATATAATAGCTCTCTTCCCACTTTCTCCCTATGGTTACTTTTTCCTGTGTCCTTTTCTATGCATCCTGCCCTCTGAGCTATCTCCTTGTACTAACACCACCCTTCTGATCTCCCATGGTTGATTGTACCTGTTGGTGTAAATGTTCACCTCATATGCCTGTCTATGTTTGGCTTAGTTTGGCTGGAAGCCACAGGAGTGATTCAATTCCAGGCCTGAAATGTAACCAGGGGCCATAGTCACAGGGGTTTCATCAGGCTCTATCAGACAAGTAAGCCTTGTCTTTTTTATGATTTTGAGTTTTGTTTCACATGTTTCTCCCACTCTATCCACAATATCCTGCACTGATCCCTTGCCTAGTGGTTGACAGTGGTAGCTGGGCACCATCTAGTTTTGGTCTCAGGACCATGTAGGCTGAGGTTCGCATGGTCCACTAGTCCCTTGGATTAATTGTTTCCATGTGTCTTTGGTTTTGTTCATTCTTCTTTGCTACAGATGAGGAGAGACCAATTGTTGCATCTGGATGGCCACTTGCAAGCCTTCAAGATCCCAGTCACTACTCACCAAACTAGGATGTAGAACAATGTTTTTCTGTAGTATGTTATGTCAATTAAACTTGATGTCCCCTGCAACCACGGTCTCAAGTCCAAGGGCCCAACAACTTGCTTCCTCAGGGTGGCTGGCCTGTGGCTAAAAAATTATCATAACTTTGCCCCCTGTTAGCTGTACGTGATAATTAAGGTTATATGTCAACTTGGCTTGGCTTGGTTTTGAGTGGTTGGGCAGCTGGTGGTAGTTATTCCCTATGATGACACTGGCAATCAACTCCACGGTGGAATCTCCTGTGAGCTGATTTAGGGATGTGGTCTGCTTTCCATGTATAAGGAGAAGCTTTGGGAATGGTCTATAGCTTTTTGACATGCTTGAACCCTGCATGTAGCCAAGTCATTGTTCAACAGCCTGCCATACCGTGATGATCTTGAGACTGTTAACGGGACTCGAATCAATGGCCTGCCATATGGTTTGGTAATAGCAAGACTGTGCCATTTTATTTGTTGACCTTGGGCTTGTTAGCCTCAGTGCCATCAGCTGCCTGAGTGAAGAGACACCTCTAGCTTCAGTGGGCTGGGAGCAAGAGGCAGCGCTGAAGCCCATGGTCGAGGGGCTTTTTCACTTAGCCCCTAGATCTAGCACTTTCACTTCAGACTTCCAGCCTCCAAAATGGTAAGAGAATAAACTCCTGTTTGTTCAAGCCATCTCATTTGTCATATTTCTGTTAGAGTGGCACTAGGTAACCAAAACATTCTATTTATATGGACATTCTTTTTTTAAAAATTTTATTGTGATCTGGGTGAAAGTTTACAGAGCAAATTCATCTTCCATACAGCAGTTCACATACACTTTGTCTCATGACATTGACTGTAATCTCCACAATGCAACAGCTCTCCTTCCACTTCCTCCCCATAGCAACCTCTTCCCTGTGACCTTCCCTCCTATGTACTCCTGCCCCCTGAGCTATTTCCCTGTACATACATAGCCCGTCTATTCTCCCATAATTGATCTTTCCAAGGGATGTATCTACCTAATGTAAGTGTTTAGATTATATGCCTGTCTTTTGTTTGGCTGAAAGCCACAGGAGTAGGTTCAATTCCAGACCTGAAAGGCAGCTAGGGGCCACAGTATATGGCCAGGTATATGGACCTTCTTATAGCACATACAAATACATATGTAGAAATATCATCTGCCAAACTTATATATGGTCATGGGCATATTCCCTTTTGCCAAGACATACCTGTTCATTTGGCCAGGCAATTAATTTTTATAATGCTAAGTTGGAAAGACAACTTGGAAGTAAAAGCCTAAGCAAAATCAAAAGCCAGCCAAAACTAGAAGATGGATTTTAGGGAGTTTCCAGGTAAGGGCCCTCAAATCACTTTGTAAATAAATAAGAAGGTGGGGACCTCAGAGCTCTACAAGTCTTAGTCTCCAACCTTTGAGTGGATGACCTCAGAAGAACATGAAGCATCTCCAATGATCATCTACTGTCATTTGAGATTTAGTAAGAAATAACAGCATGGAGCTATTCTCTCTAAAGGAGAAGCAAGTCTTGGCAGCCCTGCTTGATAAATAACCTTAACTTTAAGCAGAAGGTTGTTTGAGTTCCACACTGCACATCTAGAAGCTGATCAAGAGCAGTTACAAATGTACAGTTTCTGCATAGAGTTTAGTCTGTGATAGACATTGCAGTAGCAATAGCAGTAATTACCCTCTATTAGGGATTTATTAAGTGCCAGACACCTTCCTACGTATTTTACAAGTTGTGTCATTTAATCATTCCACAACCCTGCATGGTATCATTATCTCCATTTCAGATGAAGACACTGAGGCCCAGAGACACTAAAATCATAAAATAAGCAGTAAATAGGCAGGGTTCAATACCAGGTCTGGTTTGGGCCAAAGTTCATTATTTTAACCACATAAGCAAGTGGAAACATCTCAAAGCACCAAGTACATACATGTCCATGGGCGTGTCTGTGTCCACAACATGCTCATGGTTAGCTCAATTCACTCTTCAATCATTTTTTTAAAAAGTCATACTTTTCATTTAAAAAATTATACTTTTCACTCATTAATCTGTGATATCGCCCCACTCTTAGAAATTACTTGGAAAGCTTCTAGAAGATGAAATAAGTAGCAAATGTTTTAAAAGGCAAAAGAGCAAGAATCAAATAAGGAAAAGGGTGAGGAGATAATTACATCTAGGTTAAGAGAAGATACTGCATACAAAGCATAGCTTTGAGCTTCCTGGCAACAAAGGCAAAAAAGAGAAATGCAATAGATTGTATAGTCCTTAAATGAAAAGTGGAAACATGCTTACATTAATGAGAGAAAAGAATATCTTCCTAGCACTGAACAAAGCAATTTGTTGTGTGACTCTTAAAAAGACATGGAGCAAAATGTGTCCTTGTTAGTCTTAGAGAAAACAGGGAGACATTTCCTTATGCCATTTATAGTCCTAATCCTTCGTAGAAGGTGAAGGCATTGTGCTAAAGCACAGATATGTGAAGGCCCTTTATGTGGAGCTAAAGTGAAATAATACAGGTAATCTGGCAGATGTGGGCAACTACAGCAGATGGCAGCATTCTAAAATGTGTCAGAGCCTGAGAATGGGCAACTTTTAGTACTATCTCTTCAAGTACCCACTGTAATGGAGGCAGACGGCTTTTTCTCTAGTCTTAAGTGTTGTAACGTAAAGCTGCCAAGGTTGGCAGCCCTAAGAAGGGCTTGAGAAAGTTGGCTTTTCATTTCGTTTTTAAATATGTTATGCAAATTCTCAATGTACCTGTAGTAAACTAAACTAAAACTAAACTTCCACAAATTTCTACATTGAAGAAATAATATCAATATCCAGATGGAGCTGTAACAGGAAAGCAATTAGCTATTTTACCCCAAACTGCAGGCCTGGTTCAGTTTTTGAGCCCCTTAAATTCTAGTCTGGTTGTCTCTCTAACACACAGCAAGTTTGAGTCTTTTGAGTTGCTGTCATGCTCGAGGGACAGGTGTGCTTCAGGCTCTAGTCTTGCACTAGCCCCTGCTACTACCTGTCTTACCACAGAGGAAACAGCTATGACTATTGAAGCATTTTTAGAAACTGGTTCCACTGCTGGCTCAACCACAGGCTTGTCTCAGTTGGAGTCATGACAACATTCAACATGGGTTTGAATGCAGAAAGTTCTGGCTTGCAGCCTCAGATGTGCTGCTTCCTGGCCTAGTGAACCAGAATGGGTTATATAAGCTTTCGGTGACTCAGTTTTCTCATCCATAAAATGGGGGAAATTATACTCCCAGTGCAGTTGCTCTGAAGGTTAGACATTATGTATGGAAAGTGCACCACAGGACCAGGCACAGAGGTCATCATTATTGCTCTAACCTCCCTCTTTATCAGTCCAGGGCTTCAGTGGTCCTGCAGATGAGAAGCACCCAGAGTGGGGAGTGAGGACTCTGGACATAGGCCATGGTCCTAGCCA